ATGATAGAGCAGCACTTACATTCAGTGTGCTGTATTATGCGATTACCCCTGCCTCCACCTCTCACCCCTCCTCCACCTCCAATTAGTTGCCCCTGCCTCCAGCCTCAAAAGCCCCTCTCCACCTCCTCACCTCCTGCTCCAGCCTCTCCACCGCTCTCACACCTCAACACCCCTGCTCACCTCTGCACCTTCCCCACCACAACCCTTCCTCCACCAACACAACCCTCTCGCACCTCACACCGTCCTCCTCCACTCATACCCCTCCTCCACGCTCATATCGCCCTCCACTCCTCAAAAAAAAATAAAACCCCCTCCCCCCTTCCACCCCCTCACAAACCCCCTACTCCACCTCACACCCCCCTCCACCTCAATACCCCTCTCCACCGTCACACCCTCCTCCACCTCTCACCCCTCCTCACCACCTCTCACCCATCCTCTCACCTCACACCCCTCCTCCCTCTCACCCCTTCCTCCAGACCACACACCCTTCCTCACGCACACACCCCTACTCCACTCACACCCTCCTCCCCCTCATACCCTCCTCCAACATCATACCCTCCCTCCACCTCACACCTTCCTCCCCTCCACACCCCTCCCACTCACACCCTCCTCCACCTCACATAGCCCTCTCTCACCTCATCACCCTCCTCCACCACACCCCCTCCTCTACCTCACACCCCTCCTCACCTCTCACCCCTCCTCCACCTCACACCCCTGCTCAACCTCACAGCGCCCTTTCCCTCCCCCACCCCTTCAACACCTCTCCCCTCACAACCCCTGCTCCACCTCACAACCCCTCTCCAGCCTATACCCGTCCTTCATCTCAACCCATCCTCCACCTCACATCCCGCTCCTCTCACCTCTTCACCCCTTCCTCCACCTCTCAAACTCCCGCTCCTCCACCTCTACCACCCCTTCCTCCACCTCTCACCCTCCTCCACATCTCACCCTCCTCACCTCTCACCCCCTCCTCCACTAAAACCCCTCTCCACCTCACACCCTCCTCCACCTCCACACCCCTCCGCGCACCGCACACCCCTCCTCACCTCATCACCCCTCCTCCACCTCAACAACGTGCGCCCTTTGGCTCCACCTTCCGACCCTCCTCTACTCACACCGCGCGCCAACCTCACACCCCTTGCTCCACTCAACCTCCTCCTCCACCTCACCACCCCTGCCTTCTCCCACCTCACACCCCTCTTCACCTCTCACCCTCCTCCACCTCACACTCCTCTCCACCACACACCCCTCCTCAACTCACAACCTCCTGCTCCGCTCTCACCCATTCTCCACACACAAACCACTCCTCCACTCATCACACCCTCTCCAACTCTCACACCGCTCCTCCACCTCACACCCCTCCTTCAGCATCCTCAGCACCCCTCTACGCACCACATCAACCCCTCCTCACTCACACCCCTGCTCCACCTCTCACCCTTCCTCCACCACAACACTTCCCTCCACCCCACCAAGATTGTAACTTTATTTCGGGATTTTCCTCCTCCACCTCACACCCCTCCTCGCAGACCTCATACCCTCCTCCACCTCATAACCCGCTCCTGCCACACCTCACACCCCATCTCCTCTCTCAGCCCCTCTCCACCTCACACCCCTCCTTCCACCTCTCACCGCTTCCTCCACCCACCATGCCGCCTTCCTCCACCACAAACATCTCCCTCCTCCACCTCACACCCTCATCCACGCTCATACGCCCTCCTCCACCTCACACCCTCCACCTCACAACCCCTACTCCACGCTCACACCCCTCCTCCACCCCTCACACCCCTCCTCCCCCTCACACCCTCCTCCACGCTCAAACACCCCACCAGCGTCCACCACAACACGCCTCCTCCACCCTCACATACCCCTCCTCCACCATTCACCCTCCCTCCACTCACACCACACTCGCTCCCCACCTCACACCCCTCCTCCACCTCTCACTCTCCTCACCTGCTCACACCTCCTGCTCCACCTCACCACCCCTCCTCCACCTCTCACCCTCCTCCACCTCACACCCTCCTCCACCTCTCACCCCCTCCTCATCACCTCAACACTCCTGCTCCACCTCACACCCCTCCTCTTAACTCACACGCCCTGTCGACCCTCAACCCCCTCCCCCACCTCACACCCCCGCTCCACCTCACACCCTCCTCCACCATCATACCCCTCCTCCACCTCACACCCCCTCTCCACCTCTCACCACCTCCTCCACCTCTCACCCCTCCCTCCACCATCTCACCCTCCTCTCCTCTCACCCTCCTCCACCTCCACCCTCCCTCCACCTCTCAACCGTCCTCTCCACTCTCACCCCTCCTCCACCTCTCAGCCCCGACCTCCACCTCTCACTCCTCCTCTTCCACCTCACAAACAACTGCTCACCTCACACCCTCCTCCACCTCACATCCACCGCCACCGGGTCACAACCCCTGCGCCACCTCACATGTCCCTCCTCCACCTCACACCTCCGCCACCTTCACACCCGCTGCTCAACCATCACAACACCCCTCCTTCACACTCTCACCCCTCTCTCCAACCTACACACTCCCTCCTCCACTCACACCCCTCGCTCCACAACACAACCCTCCTCCACTCACACCCCTCCTCACCTCACACGTCTCCTCCACCACAACACCCCTGCTCCCCTCTCACCCTCCTCAACAGGAGCACCCCTCCTCCACCTCACACCCTCCTCCACCTCACACCCCTCCTCCACTTCTCACCCCTCCTCCACACCTCACACCTCTCCTCACCTCACACCCTCTCCACCTCACCACCCCTCCTCCACACACACCCTCCTACACCTCGTCACGCCCATGCCCTTCCCCCTACACCCTGCTCCACCTCCACCCTTCCTCCACCACACACCCTTCCTTCCACCATACACACTCCCTCCTCCACCTCACAGCCCCTCCTCCACCTCTATACCCCTCCTCATCACCTCATACCCCCTCCTGCCACCTCATAACCCTCTCCACCTCAAACACCCTCCTCCACTCTCTCACCCTGCCTCCACCTCACATCATGTTTTATGCATGCCCTCCTCCACCTCTCCCTTACCTCCACCACCAACACCCTTCCTCACACACAGCCCCTGCCACGCACCTCAGCATCCCCTCCCTCCACGCTCATTCCCCTCCTCCACAATCACACCCCTCCACCTCAACCCCTCGCTCCACCTCACACAGCTCCCTCCTCCTACCTCAACCCCTCCTCCACCCTCAACCCTCCTCTCACCACACACCCCTCCTCCACTCTCAACTCCTCCACTCTCAACCCCTCCTCCACCTCACACCCCTCCTCCACCTCACACCCATCCTCCACCACACACCCCTCCTCCACCTCTCACCCCTCCTCCACCTCACACCCCTGCTCCACCTCTCACCCTTCCTCCACCACACAACCCACACTCACACCCTCCGCCACACTCACATATCCCCTCTCCCACCTCATACCCCCTCCCACCTCATACCCCTCCTCACCTCACAACCCCCTCCACCTCTCACCCCTCCTCCACCTCACACCCCTGCCACCTCCACCTCCAACACGACCTCTCCACACCACACACCCTTTCCACCTCACACTCCTCAACCCTCCACCCCTCCCCCCTCCACTCTCACCTCACCGCCTCCCTCCACCTCACCCCCTCCTCCACCTCACACCCCTCCCCACCTCACACTCCTCCTCAACTCACACCCCTCCTCCACCTCACACGCACCTCCACCCTCCTCTCACTCACACCCCCTCCTCCACCTCTCACCCCTCCTCGCACCTCACACCCCTGCTCACTCACACCTCTACATACCCCCATCCTCCACCCTCTCCACCTCCACCCCACACCCCCTCCTCCACCCTCCTCCACCCTCTCCCCTCTCACCCCTCACACCTCCTCCCTCCCCCTCCACCTCTCACCTCCTCCACCTTTCACCCTCCTCCCCTCTCACCCTTCCCTCCACCCTCCTCTCACCTCTCTCACCCCTCCTCCACTTACACACCCCTGCTCCACTCACACCCTCCTCCACCTCACACCCGCCACCTCACACCCCTGCCACCCTCACCCAACCCTCCACCTCACACCCCTCCTCCACCTCACACCCCTCCTCCACCTCTCACCCCTCCTCCACCTCACACCCCTCCTCCACCTCACACCGCTCCTCCACCACACACCCCTCCTCCACCTCACATCCCCTGCTCCACTCTCACCCTTCTCCACCACACACCCCTCCTCCACCATCACACCCCCTCCTCCACCTCACATAGGTCCCCTCTCTCACGCTCACAACCCTCCTGCTCGACCTGACACCTCCTCACCTCACACCCTGCTCAAGACTCACATTCTTTGACCCTCTGCACCTCACAATCTACCCTCTGCTACCACCTCACACCCCTGCTCCACCTACACGGTCCCCTGCTCACATCATCACACCCCTCCTCCACCTCAACACGCCCTGTTCCATTTGACACACGTCCTCCCCACGCTCTCACGCCTTTGCCACCACCTACAACACCCCTTCCTCCACCTACACTACCTTGCTCACCTCACAGTTTGCCCCCTCCTCCACCTCTCACCCCTCCCACCTCAAGACCCTGGCTCCAATCAACCCTCCTCCTCACCTCGTCACCACGCTTCTACCACACATATCACATCCCCTCTCCACCACACATCCTCTCCTCCACCTCACACCCCTCCTCCCACTCTCACCTTACCTCCACACACACCCCTCCTCCACTCACACCCCTGCCTCACCTAACATCTCCCTCCTCCACTTCTCATCCCTCCTCCACCTCACACCCCTCCTCACCCACACACCCCTCCCTCTCACCCTCCACCAACAACACTCCCTCCTTCCACCTCAACCAATCCTCCTCCCCACCTTACCCCCTCCTCCCCTCACACCCCTCCCTTTATCTCAACCTCCACCACAATCGTCACCTCTTCCACCGTCACCCTCCCACCCTCACACCCCTCCTCTCACCACACCTAATAGTATAACACCCACTCCTTCATCCTCACACCCCTCGCTCCACCTCACACCGCTCCTCCCTCCACCCCTCACACCCCTCCTCCTCCACCTCTCAACCTCCTCCCTCCACCCAACCCCTCTACCACCCTTCCTCCACTCACAACCCCCTCCCTCCACCTCTCACCCCTTCCTCCACAACACCCTCCTTCCACCCTCACACCCTTCCTGACCACCCAACATCCCCTCTCCACCCACACCCCATCTCCAGCTCACACCCTCCTCCACCTCACACCCTCCTCCATCTTCCTCCTTTCCACCTCACACCAGCCTCTCCACCCTCCACACACCTCCCCCCTCCCACTCCCTCCTCCACTGCTCACAACCCCTCCTCTCACCTCACATTACCTTCTCCCCTTCCTCCACCACCACACTCACACCCCTCTCCACCTCACACCCCTCCTGCCACCTCACACCCCTCCTCTCACCTCACACCCTCCTCCACTTACACCCCTCTCCACCTCACACCCTCCTTCACCTCACACCCTCCTCCACACTCACACCCCTTCCTCCACCTCACACCCCCCTCATCCTCACACCCCACCTTCCACACACCTCTCCACCTCACCTCCTCCCCTGCACACCCTCTCCTCCACACCCCTCTCCACCTTCACACCTCCTGTCATCTCACCCCTTCCTCTCAACCCTCCACAGACCTCCTCCACCTCAACACCCCTCCTCAACACCCTCCTCCACCACACCCCTCCTAACCCACCTCAACACCTCACACTCCTACACCCCTCCACCTCACACCCCTCCTCCACTCACACCCTCCACCTTCACACCGCCCTCCTCCACCTCACACACCCTCCACCTCACACCCTCCTCACACTCACACCCCCTCCTCGCACCTCCACCCCTCCTCCACTCCTCACACCTCCTCCTCCACCTCACATCCCTCCTTCCCCTTCAACCCCTCCTTCCACCCCTCCTCCACCTCAACCTCACACCCTCCTCCCCACCTTCACAACCTTCCCTCCTCCACCTCACCTTCACACCTCCTCCACCTGCACCCCCTCTTTCATCTTAACACCCTACTCCACCTCACACCCCTCCTCCACCTCTCACCCCTCCTCCACCTCACACCCCTCCTTCATCTTAACCCCTACTCCACCTCACACCCCCCTCCACTCACACCTTCAACCTCACACTTCTTCTCACCCCTCCACCTCGAACCCTCCCCACATCACATTCCTCCTCCCACCATCACACCTCCCACCCTCCTTCAACTCAACCCCTCTCTCACCTCTCACCCCTCCTCCACCACACACCACATTCACCTCCTCCACCCACATCACCCTCCTCCACCCTCTCAACACCCCCATCTCAACCCTCCTCCACCTCTCACCCTCCTCTCACCTCACATCCCACACTCCTTCATCCAACCGCCTCCCTCACTCACACCCCTCCTCCACCACACACCCTCCTCCACCCACACCTCCACCTCTTTCCAACCTCTCCAACTCACCCCCCTCTCACCCCTCCTCCACCTCTCACCTCCTCTTTTCACCCCCCTCCTTCTCTCCACACCCCTCCTCCCATCCACATACCCCTCCTCACACTCACACCTCCTCCACTCAAACACACCCTCCTCTCACCACACACTCCTCCTCCACCACCTTTCACACCCTCCTCCACCTCACGCCCTCCACCACACACCCCTCCTCCACACCACACACCCTCCTCTCCACCTTTCCTCCTCCCACACCCCTCCTCCGCACAACACCCTCCTTCATCTCAACCGCTCCTCCACCTCACACCCCTCCTCCACACTCACACCCTCTCCACCTCACACCTCTCCCTCCAACTCTCCACCTCACACCTTACCTCTCCACCACCCCTCCTCCTCCGCCACACAACACCATCTGCCTCGCCTGAATCAAACATGCGGCACCAAGCAAGGAAGTCAAGCAAGCAGGGAAATGAGAACCCGGAGGCCCTTCGCCTTGCCTGCAGGAAACCTCAAAGGAAGCCTCCGGGGCCTCCTCTCCCCGCGCGCACGAGAGACTCCTTCGGGGGGAGAGAGCGCGAGGCAGATCCCGTCAGGAGGCGTTTGTGTGTGATTAACGAAGTGTGTCTTTGTTCGGAAGGGAGGCGGTGCGGTTAGCATTTCGGTTTATGCAGGTGGGCTTTGGGTCGCGCTGTCTGCTGGGGTGGTCGTTGCGTGTGTTCAGTGTGTGTTCGGCGTAATGCAGTTCTGTGTGTGCGTTTGTGTTTGTGTGTACGAACCGCATGTGTATACTGTTTTTGTGTGTACGAACCGCTTGTGTATACTGTTTTTGTGTGTACGAACCGCACTGTTTTTTGTGTGTACTATGTGTATACTGTTTTGTGTGTACGAACCGCACTGTTTTTGTGTGTCGAACCGCATGTGTATACTGTTTTTGTGTGTACGAACCGCATGTGTATACTGTTTTTGTGTGTACGAACCGCTTGTGTATACTGTTTTTGTGTGTACGAACCGCTTGTGTATACTGTTTTTGTGTGTACGAACCGCATGTGTATACAGCTTTTGTGTGTACGAACCGCATGTGTATACTGTTTTTGTGTGTACGAACCGCATGTGTATACTGTTTTTGTGTGTACGAACCGCTTGTGTATACTGTTTTTGTGTGTACGAACCGCTTGTGTATACTGTTTTTGTGTGTACGAACCGCATGTGTATACTGTTTTTGTGTGTACGAATCGCTTGTGTATACTGTTTTTGTGTGTACCAGTTGTGTAAGGTCTGTGTGCATGGACCTTATATGTGGCACGTATGTAGCGATACACATGTACCATTCCCCTGTATCTGTGTAAACGTATGTGTACCCGTGTCTGTTTATCTGTGTGCGTGTTGACTGGGACCTTTCTCTACCTGGCGTGTATTTACTGCCCTGCATTTGCACACAATTCATTCCGATGATAATAACAGTGACACTGATTATCATCAAGACAGCAATAAAAGCAATGATGATGACAACAGCAATGATGATAACGTTGATGATAAAATGCGATGTCCGCGGCAGTAAACGGGAGGCAAACACGTCGAGGTAATCTGACCCAAATGAAGTCTATGATTGAAATTAGGTGAGCTAAGGGAAGGAGGGGAAGGGGATGGGGAGAGGGAGAGGGGGAGGATAGAGATAAGGGAGAGGAAGGGAGGGAGGGAGAAGGGGAGGAGGGAGAGATATTCACAATAGATAAACCTTATACGGGAAGCTACTCATTATATTCGCCGCATTAAGATGGCGCTTGTTGCCGTTGGCATTCAGAGAGAGAGAGGGACAGACAGATGAGAGAGAGAGCGCGCAAAATGAAAAACAAAAAAAAAAAACACTATCAGAACGAGGTCCAGAAAAAAATGCACAAAAAAACAACAGCAAAAAAGGGGAGCTTGTTACGCCACGGAACCGGTCGTGGTTGTTTATGTGTTGTTCCGCGCGGGGACAACATGCGTTCGAAAAATTCTTTCGCTTGATGAAATCCAATTTACTCGTCGCCCTTACGGTCGCCTCGGCATTTGGTGTTTTCATTATGTATGTGTCCGCGTCTCATGCATAGAGGGGTGTGGGGGGGGGGCAGGTAACGAGAGAGATAGAACTGGAGGGAGAAAGGAGAGAGAGAGAGAGAGAGAGGGGGGGGGGGTTGACGAAGAGAGAGGGGGGGGGGGTGACGAAACAGAGAGAGAGAGAACTGGAGGGAGAAAGAGAGAGTGAGAGACAGAGAACTGCGACGTGAGAGAAGAGAGCCAAGCAGACGTGGAGAGTGCCTGCTGAGACCCTCCAGCAGACACTGATCATCGCGAGGCTACTAAAACCTTCTCAGTGTCTGTCTGTGGAGATCTGTCTGTCATGGGCCTGTCATGGCGGACTGAGTGATTTGTGTCATGGATCAAGGCCATGAGGTGAAATGGGGTCATACGATCCGCTCTCGCACGCCCACAAAATGGTGGCGTCGTTCAGTTGCTGGATTTTTTTTTTTTTTTTTTTTTTTTTTTTTTTTTACATTTTGTTTTGAGTTATGAAATAGGATATCTCTTCTATCTCTTCTCTCTCTCTCCTCTCTCTCTCTCTCTCTCTCTCTCTCTTCTCTCTCTCTCTCTCTCTCTCTCTCTCTCTTCTCTCTCTCTCTCTCTCTCTCTCTCTCTCTCTCTCTCTCTCTCTCTCTCTCTCTCCTCTCTCCTCTCTCTCCTCTTCCTCTTCTCTCTCTCTCCTCTCTCTCTCTCTCTCTCTCTCTCTCTCTCTCTCTCTCTCTCTCTCTCTCCTCTCTCCCTCTCTCCTCTCTCCCTCTCTCTCTCTCTCTCTCTCACTCTCTCTCTCTCTCTCTCTCTCTCTCTCTCTCTCTCTCTCTCTCTCTCTCTCTCTCTCTCTCTCTCTCCTCTCTCTCATCTCCCTCCCTCTCCTCTCCCTCTCCCTCTCTCTCTCTCTCTCTCTCTCTCTCTCTCTCTCTCTCTCTCTC